GCTAAAGCTGAAAAAGCAGCTTCTTTGCCCCTTTAGGTATAAACCCGTATGTGTGTGTGTGCGTGTAAAAAGAATAGTGCAAATGTGGAGTCACTCTACTATAGAGGTATCAAACTCAGTTTCATTGAGGGCCGCATCAGGGTTGCGTGGCCAGGGTGGGCGTGGCCAGCTTGACATCACTCGTGTCGGGGGCGCCTGTGGAGGCCCGAGGGCTCTGCCAGCGAAAAAGGGCTTCCGAGCTCCATTTTTGCCTGTGATGGTCTCCTGCAATCCTCTGCCAGTGAAAATGGAGCTCGGAGGCCACAGGCAAGCTCTCCCGCACTCCATTTTCAGTGGCAGAGGCACTGTGGGCCGGTCCTTCACTGTTTCCAGGGTGGCCCTGCGGGCCAGATCTAAGCACCCTGTGGGCCGGATCCAGCCCCCAGACTTTGAGTTTGACACCCCTGCTCTATCACAACCTTTAAACAACTTTTTTATTTCCTTGCTTGGCTGCGTAAGAGCTCTGCAACACAAGCCCATGGCTTGTGATTTAACACAACGAGGAGGTTTTCCAGTTCAGATCTTGGCACTAATCAGTGCAGATAGTCCTCAACGTATGGGCGTGATGGAGTCTGCCCATGAAGGTTGTAAATCGTGACAGTTGTCAATCGGGTCACCCTCATGACCGACCCAATGTTACAACCTTTTCTGTGACAAAGTGACAGTTGTTAAGCAGCCACCCTAATCATTATGGCTCATCATGGGCCAGTTTTGTTGAATATTGGAAGTAAATGCTGGTTTTCTGCAAAAATGCTGTAAAAGACAGTCCCGTGACCGTGGGATTCGACAAACCACCATAAATATAGCCTGGTTGAGTGTCTGAAGTGCAGTCATGTGACCCTGGGAGTATGTTAGGCGCAAACAACCAGACCCACACACGAACAGTTCAATTAGCTGTTTTATTGCTCAAGGCTCTACACAGGAATCTTCTGAAACTAACGGTTTGCACCTGGGTGAATCTAGATGATGTTCAACAGCGTTCAAGGGCAGGATCGGACTTTGCCCTTTTGTGCCCATGTAGGGATTCTAGGCTAGGTCCCCATTTGACTCCTCCCCCTGGCTTAGCCAGTCTCTCCTACAGGGGGGAACTGCTGGAACTTTTAATCCATGACATAAGTACACCCCAAGTAGAGGGTAATTTGAAACAGTTGCTAAGCAACCAGTCGTAGGGCAAGGACTACCTGTGCATGAAGTCGTTTTATATGAGGCACCACCTTTCATCTCTTCCTTTCCATTTGCAAGATGGGAATGTAACATTTGAAGAAATGATAATTAGAAAAACAGAAAGGAGGAAAGATACAATAACTGACATGAACGCCTATTACAGGTAGTACTTGCTTAGTGACCAGCAACTCCACTGCTAAGTGACATAGTCATTAAGTGAGATATCACACGACTATAATGGACCTACGATGTCACTTCCACTGTGCTTGTTAAACGAATTGTCCATGGTCATTAAGTGATTATGTCTTGCGCTGCTAATGCTGGCTTCTCCTTGTTGGAAGCCGTGGCAATCACATGACTGGAAGGATTCTGCAACAATCATAAATGTGGAAGACCGATTGTAACATTACTATTTCAGTGCTGTTGCAAATTTTAACACTTGCTGAATAGGAAGAGTTGTTAAGTGAGGCCCACCCACATCCCTCAAGTTAAGCTAAAGGGCAAAAATGGCTGAAATGGAAGTTGATACTCTAAATGTGTAGGTTTATCGTTCATTATTATTGATTATACTTATTGTGCAATCTGGATCAGTAGAGGGTGCTGTTTTGAGACTTGTTTCCAGATCTTTTCCATCATTTAATGCAGTGTTTCTCAAGCTAAGCAACCTGAAAGTATGTGGACTTCAAATCCCAGAATTCCCCAGCCACAATGCAGGTAGAAAATTATGGAGCTACTCGTTAAAGTGTTCATTCAATTGAGTAGAATTCAAAATGCTCCGTAGCACCAAAACTGACTTGTTTAGATAGCTGAAAAGTTTGGCTTGGGTCTTGATATTTTTCCCATTTTCATGAAAAGTCGCCGCATTTAAACCACACAACTTTCTTGGGTAATATTTCTATAGTTTTTAATTACTTCCTTTACTCATTCCTGGCAAATATTGTTATGTTACAGTTCCAGGATGCTAGACTGCAGGCTTAGTTTGCAAATCTGAGGCCTAATGCAAATTTAAATCACTTTGAAATAACTGATCCTGTCAGGGATCCAAGTAACACACCCATACCAAACAATCTCTTTCCATTCCAAAAAATGTTAGGGAGATTCTGCATTGTGGGCTGCTGATTTGGATTCTCTTACAGATAGTCCCAAAAGTGGATTTATTCTGAGAGTTACAGGTTTTTTTGACCTCTGATAAAACCCATTGCAGTAAAGCACTACTGGAACTAATTTAAATTTGTATTTTGCACATGTAACAGCAGCTGAAAAATATGTTTTTTTATCACTAAGTTAGTAGCAGTACCTTTATGGCAATGCATAAGATAAAAAAACATGAAATGTCTTAATTCATAAATGTGAAATATTATAATTCATTTCCAATTTTCATTTTTAACAATGAAAATAGTTGCTTTGAGAAAATTCCAGATGGAACACCAAACCATACATTGGTTTTATTCTATCTACTTGCTCAAACCTATAGGCACACTAAATTATAAAACAAGAAGTTCTCAAGGAAGAAAAACCTACAGTAGATCTGAAATTGCTATCATTTTCTCAGTGTTGTACTTGTTATTTCTAGAGAGCTTAATTTAAACATTAATTAGAAGTTAATCCCGAAGCAGAAAAACCAGAAATAGCCTTGCCCCTGGTTTCCAGGCTAAAAAAAAAAAAACAAACCCAAAAATATACATCCTTCAAAACCTTATTTGATAAAATAACATTGAATACCTATTGTGTTTTCTGTTTTTTCTCTGTACCTCCCCTCCCTCTCTCCCCCAAAAGTAGATCACAGTGGAATTCTTTGGCAATTGAACCTGATACCTGCAAGATTCGCTACACTGATTTGCTTAACAATTGTGGCAAAAAAGATTGTAAAATTGGGCATGGCTCACTTAAAAACCACCTTTCTTCACAACAGAAATTCTGGTTCCCATTGTGGTTGTATGTCCACAGTCTTTTTTCTAAATGTCTACAGTCTTTTTTCTTTTTATTAATTTTGCCACCCAACAATACATACAATTTCAGATCTATCATGGAAGACGTTCTAATATCTCATCCTGTTTTCCTCTAAGATTATTTGAAGACAGTGCAATAAGTGATAAGAGGTCAAAGTATAACTTTTATTTATCACATCTTGAGGAATCTCTCATTTTCCTACTGGCTGAGATTAATAGTCGGCGGATCATATTCAAGATTACGATTTCATATTAGACAGGGGAGTTCCCTGTCGAGCTCCCCTGTCTAATCCCGAGCTCCGTTTTTGCTGGCAGAGGGTTAAAGGAGGCCGTGGCCGTGGCAGCCGAAAATGGAGCTCGGGGCCCCGTTTTCGCTGGCAGACCACTCGGGCCACCACAGGAGCCCCGACACGAGTGACGTCGAGCTGGCCACGCCCACCCCGGTCCCCGGAGGTCAAAGACAACCCTGAAGCAGCCCTCAGTGAAATTGAGTTTGACACCCCTGATTTAGGGGAATCCTGATGTAAAAAGAAAATCTGCACCGGTTGAATTTCTGGCTTGAAACACCAACATATCTATTGCCTTAATGGGAAAGGACTTTTCCCCACAGCTTCTGTCCATTGCAGGGGGGACTTTTAGGCAGAGCTAGAAATTCAGAGCCCCTGGGAGCTTTTGATTTTATTAAAAGGCAGCTTGCTTTTGTGAGTTGCGTTTATCAGAAAAGATGCTCCAGAGCTCCTGGTTTATTTATTATTATTTTTTTTGGCACCACAGACCAGCCTTTCTCCTCCCACAAGGTGAGCAAAAGTGGAGGAAACTCCAACATTGTTTGGGCCTCCAGCCTCTTTGCGCTCACACCAGCAAGGAAGCTTTTCCAGAACTGGTAGAGTGAGTTGCACAGATTTGCTCCCACGGCCGCTCCCTACTGGTGCAACCTTGCTTGGTTATAAATCTAATGCATTTGTCCCATTTCTCTATTTCCCCCCCCCCCCCCCCCGCACACACACACACACACACACACATACTTTTCACTTCCATCAAGTTGCCCTGCCAGTTGCGGAGCTGCCCCAGCTTGGCTTGGGTGGCTTCCTCAGCCAGCACATTTGCCTAACGGGAGGCATAAACAACAGATTGAGTTGCACTCGCGGCCTTGCCAGATTCCTTACGTAGCGGGAGAGCATGGGGTGATTTTGCAGAGGAGTGGGGGCTGTGGGGTAGAAAGCTTGTTAAAATGAATGAAGCCAGGCAGGTTTGTGAGTTATTTCTTCTCTTCTGGCTGTGTGCCATCTTTGGGGGAGGCTCTCCCCCCCCCCTTGGAGTGGGGTGCAGAGAGGCCCCTGGGCTGCTATGAAAAGCAAAAGACCGACTCTGGATTGGAAACATGGGGGAGGGAGGGCAAAATATCTCCCCCTACACTTTTTTTTGGGGGGGGGGGCGGGACGGTGGGTTGGTGAAGGTTAGAGAGCCAAACTGGCTGATCCTCATTCTTGCTTCTGTGGGGTCTTTGCTTGTGCCCTTCTCCTTCCTCGCTCTCTGTCCTGCTCTCCTTCTGGCTCACACAAACACACACACAACTCCGCAGGATGACTCCTGCCAAAAATTGCTACCCCTTTTCCAGGCCTGCTGCTACCATAGCAACGACCTCCCTGCAACCCAGCCTCTTGCCAAGCGACAGAGAGGCACCCGGAGGGGAGGGTGGGTGAGCCCAGCGAAAAAGTGTGTGTGTGTGTGTGTGTGTGTGTGTGTGTGTGAGAGAGAGAGTGAGTGTACATGTTTGTGAATGCTTGCACACAAGCCTAGGTTTGCACAAGCGGGCCCGTTTAACCCTTCCTCTCCCGATGTTTGCAGGGCTGAGCATCCGGAGTTCGCAAGAGGAAGAGCCGGTAGACCCACAGCTGATGCGCTTGGATAACATGCTCTTGGCCGAGGGGGTGGCCGGACCCGAAAAAGGGGGTGGTTCTGCAGCGGCGGCGGCAGCTGCAGCGGCAGCAGGAGGGGTGTCCCCCGACAACTCCATCGAGCACTCGGATTACCGCAACAAGCTTTCGCAAATCCGCCAGATCTACCACTCGGAGCTGGAGAAGTACGAGCAGGTAAGAAGAACTGAGAGCAGGCACCTTTTGTGTGTGTGTGTGTATTTGTGTGTGCGTGTGTGCGCGTGCATATATATATATTTAAAGGGATTTGATCTTGATTTTGGCTCTTTCAACCAGTGGCTGCCAAATTCTTTGGCTTGCACACATTTAGGGCAATAAACCTTTTTGATCCTGCATTTCCCCATATTTCTTTTTAAATTACATGGGAATAGTCATATATGATGACATTTTGGGGATAAATGGAGCAAATCTATAATGCTGGGAAAGGTGGGAGGGAGGGAGGAAGGAAGGGCAAAGCAGATGAACTTGATTACAACAATGATGGAGAAAGTGTTGGGATTAAGAATCCATACAAAGATATAGTAGAAATAAGGGAGGGGAAAAAATGTGTAAGTATGAAACTTTTGACTGATGCGAAACTGTTGAAACAGAAAAAGTGTTAAAGCTTTCTTTTTGATTTTAAAAAAATCTTTAATAATACCACAGAGTTGGTCTCCTCCGGGTCCCGTCAGCTAAACAATGCCGGCTGCGGGCCCACGGGGGAGGGCCTTCTCTGTGGCTGCCCCAGCTCTCTGGAACCAGTTACCTCCTGAGGTCCGGACCATCCCCACCCTACTGGCCTTCCGAAAAGCTGTGAAGACCTGGCTTTTCCGGCAAGCCTGGGGCTGTTGATCTCGCTTTGCGATCTGGTGAGATCCGGCCATGAGTGGTGTGAATGCGTTCTAAGGTTTTTAATGTTTTTTTAATTTTTTAAATGTTTTTAGAATGTTTTTTTTTTAAATGTATTGTGAGCCGCCCTAAAAGAAAGAAAGAAAGAAAGAAAGAAAGAAAGAAAGAAAGAAAGAAAGAAAGAAAGAAAGAAAGAAAGAATACATACATACATACATACATACATACATACATACATACATACATACATAGGACAGGGTTGGAGTCTGATCCGATCATTCTGGAGAAAATCTATTTCCATGGCTGTTATAAGTCACTGGCTTGATGGCACATAGTCAAATCAAATGCTATATATTTTATTTTTATTTATTTATATTTTATTTTATTTATTTAAACCATTTATATGGCTACCTGTATCAAACTCTGGGCAGCTTCCAGCCAAGGATTAAAACAACATCAATAATAAAACGATATAATGCATACCGTACATATGCCTATTAAAACATTAAACGTATTAAGTGTTTTAATTTATAAACCTATAACTAAATATTATTTACAACATTAAATAATGAATATTAAAAGCTGGCACCGAAGTTAATCTTCCACACATGCAAATTCCTCGCTCAATCCCCCAGTCCTGTCCCTGGGATTGAGGGAAAAGCAAGATCTTTTCGGAAGGCTAAGAGGAGAGTGCGAGGCCTGGCGAACTTCAGGCAGAAGGTAATTTCCGTAGGGCAGGGCCTGCCATGGAAAAGGCACCCTTCCTACCTCCTATAAGATGCAATGTTTAAAGCAGCGGTCCCCAATCTTTTGGGCACCAAGGACCGGTTCTGTGGAGAGAGGTTTTTCCGCGGACCGGAGGAGGCGAGGTTTCGTGTGCTGCTTGGCATCCCGCAGAGGGGGCTTTGCTGGTTTGCGCAACCTGATTTCTGGCAGGCCGTGGCCTGGTACCAGTCCATGGACCAGGGGTTGTGGACCCCTGGTTTAAAGGAAGGAACTAGGAGCATGCCCATCCTATCTGACCTGGTAAGACTGGTCGATGCTCTTAAGAAAAGAAAAGCCTCAGCCACGGGATGAAAGCAGCATACAAAACCACACCCCTTCCTGCTTTAGGAAGGCAGGGTATCTTCGAGACCGCCTTCTACCGCATAACTCCCAACGACCGGTAAGATCCCACAGAGTTGGTCTCCTCCGGGTACCGTCAGCTAAACAATGCCGGCTGGTGGGCCCGCAAGAGAGGGCCTTCTCTGTGGCTGCCCCAGCTCTCTGGAACCAGTTACCTCCTGAGGTCCGGACCATCCCCACCCTATTGGCCTTCCGAAATGCAGTGAAGACCTGGGTTTTCTGGCAGGCCTGGTGCCGTTGATCTCGCTCTTGCAATCCGGCGAGATCCGGCCATGAATGGTGTGAATGAGTTTTAATGTTTTTAATTCTTAAATGTTTTTTATAATGATTTTAAATGCATTGTGAGCCGCCCTGAGTCTCCGGAGAGGGGCGGCATATAAATTGAATTAATAAATAATAAATAAATAAAGGCTGTCCTGCAAATAAGCTGACTCTGTGTTGTACAGGGCTTTAAAAGTAATAACCAGCACCTTGAATTGCACCTGGGAGGAAACTGAGAGCCAGTGCAGCTCATGCAAGAGAGGTGTTACAGGGGAAACCAAGGGGCGCCCATTATTGTGCTTGCCCTTCCTCACATTCTGGACTGCTTGTAGCTTCCAGCTGATCTTTATTTATTAAATTTGTCGTTCACCTATTTAACCACAGGGCAGAGGTGGGTTTCACATAATTTTAACCCCGGTTCGCCGCACACTGAAAATGTGAGCGCGTGCCTTCCGTGGCCTTCTGCGCATTTGCTTTGCTTGCACGAGCGGTTTGCACGCATGCACACGGCTTAAAAAACGTGGCTAAATGGGACAGCACAGCGCCAGGGCGAGTGGACGGACCCACCCGCAGGTCGCCACTTCCGGTTCGCCTGAATCAGTCCGAACCGGCTGAATACCACCTCAGTATGTATGGGTAGATAATACTTTCTTTTGAGAGCACGCAACAGTTTCATTTTTAATGTGGGCCAGTGTGCTCATAGTAAAAAAATGACAATAAAGGTTATCTTATCTCTTATCTGGGTGAGGGTTGAGTGGGGGACTGCTTTTATATATGTATGTGTCCTTTTAGGGCTTTTACTTTAAAAACGTGTTTTTAATGGTTTATTCTGTTTGGGGCCTGCTTCTAAACTGTCAAATACTTCCCATTTCACAATAGGAAATACCCAGGCCTGTGTTTCAGTGGCCATAGTTAGTGCTTTCGAAGGATTACATGGGCAACAGGGTGAATGGGTAGAAAAACCAACCTTTTCTAGGGAAGAAAAGTTAATAGCACTATAGGTACTCCTTGAGTTACGACCACAACTGAGTCCCAAATTTATGTTGCTAAGTGAGACACTTGTTAAGTGTGTTTTGCTCTGTTTTACAACCTTTCTTGCCACCGTTGTTACGTGAATCATTGCAGTTGTTAAGTTAGTAACGCGGTTGTTGAGTGAATCTGGCTTCCCCATTGAGTTTGCTTGTCAGAAGGTCGCAAAAGGGGAATCACATGACCCCGGGACATTGCAACCGTCATAAATATGAGCCAGTTGCCAAGCATCTGAGTTTTGGTCATATGACTATACTGAAAAGTCATAAGAGTGAATAATGGTTGTACGTCACTTTTTTAGTAACTTTGAATGGTCACTAAATGAATGGCTATATGTCAAGGACTACCTGTACAAAGTTGATTAGTTGGAGATTCAAGTTAAGACTCAGTAGCCAAAGATGGTGAATCTCTGGGATGGAGGACAGATTGCAATGGATGGGGAAAGTGTCAAGTTCTTGCCGTCATAACTTTTGACTCACCTGCCCCATCTCTTCCTTCTTCCTTTCCACTCCTCGACCCACAAAGGCTTGCAATGAGTTCACAACCCACGTGATGAATTTGCTTCGAGAGCAAAGCCGCACACGCCCGGTGTCGCCTAAGGAGATTGAGCGCATGGTCAGCATCATCCATCGGAAGTTCAGCTCTATCCAGATGCAGCTGAAGCAGAGCACATGTGAAGCGGTCATGATCCTGCGTTCACGCTTCCTGGATGCCAGGTGGGTATTTTATTTCAGAGGTGAAATATGGCCCCTTTATGACTTGTGGACTTCAGTTCCCAGAATTCCTAAGCCTTATGATTTGTGGACTTCAACTTCCAGAATTCTGGGAGTTGAAGTCCACAAGTCATAAAAGAGCCAATTCTGCTGATGGTTGTATCTGGGCGACCTTCCATATGATGTGAAATACCTAGCTTCGGAAGTGTTGGCAACATGTAAATGTTGGCAAATAAATTTCCTGACCGTGGGAAATACAAATATATCATGGCTTCCTGTAGAACTGTGCATACTTCCTGCTATTTAAAACTGCATCATGAACAATTGAAAGCCGCAGAGTATTTGTATTATGTAAACCTAGCAAACATTTGAATGTTTAGCTTTGCAGAAGTCGTCATTTAGCATCTATGATTGGAACCAGCAACTTGGGTCACTGGATGAAACTACAACCATTGCTTATGATTTTTAGCTTTCCTTTGTTTAACAGACCCTCGAATGTCATAAATGGGAGGATTGGTTGCAAAGTTTTTCATCACTTTCATCATAATTGCGGATGGTTGCTGTACAAGGCAGTTGCTAAATGAGGACTGCCTGTGTTTTTATTTTTATTTTTGCATAATGTATTCTGGACTTTACTCCAAGGAGAGAGGATGGATCTGAAGCAGGGATGATATTCACTTACTTTCCCTACCGGTTCGCAAACGTGAGCATGTACCCCATCCATGCATGTGCCCGGCCTTCCATGCATGTGCTTTGCTGGCGCATGCGCCTTCCACACATGCACCCACCCTAAAAAATGTGCCTAAATAGGATGGCATAGAGCCGGGGCGGGTGAGCGGCCCATCCGTGGTTTCTGCTACCGGTTCGGGCGAACCGCTCCAAACCGGCTGAATACCACCTCTGATCTGAAGATAGTGGTGATATGTTGTTGGAAATCTCATTTGGGGGCTCAATATACACGGCCTGCCTGTTTTCAAGAAAACCTGGAGGATCACTGGAGTCTACCTGGAAAGAAAGAGTTAGAACTGCAGTTCTCAAGAACATCTCCAGATATTTTAGCACTCCTGTGAAATTTATATGTCAAATCCAATTGTTTTTCTGATGTGCTGGTTTCTTTAAGTAATTTTGTATGGCAAATGAAGGTGAATATACGTGTCCCAGGATAACGTTGTAAGTCTGGGTCGGTCACCGGAACCAGAGGTTTGGTTTTCCCAACTTTCAGACTCATGCTAAAGCCCATCCTCGGGGAACTTCTCGGTAGCCAGCTAGAGATTGACCCAGATTGGATTCCGCATTTGTGTATGGGTTAGTTATAAAAAAACCAAAACTTTGCGATGATGGTAGAGATGGAGCTGGTGGTGGAAATACAGGTGGTTCTCATTCAGTGACTATTCCAACCTGGTGACGGCACTTAAAAGAAGGAGACTTCGGACTTGTCCTTGGAGTTCTGGCCATTGGTCACATGATTGCAATTTGGGTGCTTGGGATCTGGATTGTAATTAGGATGTCACAGCAAACCGTAGTCATGTGATTGCAATTTCTGACATTCTCTGCTGGCATTCCCAGAAGCAGTGTCAATGGGGAAGCCAGCAGGAAATCATAATCATGCAAGGTCCTCATTTAATGAGCTGCACAGTCCTTGCTTAACGATGGTAACTGGGACTACAAGAATTGCCGCTGCCTAGCAATGCAGTCACAGGACATTGCACTTTACAACTGTGTCGCTTAGTAACGGCAATTCTGGTCCCAAATGCCATCATAATCAAATATAGAACTGCTTATATTTGAACAGATTATTTTTACCATTTACAGTCAACTAGTACAATGAAAGGAGGGCTGCCCTATAAAGGTAGTCCTTGACTTACAACCGTTTGCTTAATAACCGTTCAAAGTTAAAAACGGCACTGAAAAAAGTGACTTATGACCGTTTTTCATAGTTGCAACTGTTGCAGCATCCCCATAGTCACATGATCAAAATTTGGATGCTTGGCAACTGACTTGTTTTTATGACAATTGCAGTGTCCCAGGGTCATGTTTTGCGACTTTCTGACATGCCAAGACAATGCGGGAGCCAGATTCACTTAACAACCGTGTTACTAACTTAAGAACTATGCCAAGAAAGATCGTAAAATGGGGCAAAACTCATTTAACCAATGTCTCACTTAGCAACATAAATTATGGGCTCAATCGTGGTCAAAAGTTGAGGACTACTTGTATATTTGTTCTAATATACCTATAAATCCCTACTCTTCCTTCTCCTTGTTTTTTTTTTTTCAATTTTCCCCTTCTTGATCCCGTACGAGTGTTCCTCTTCGGTGGATATCGATACCTAAATGCCAATCATTCTGTTCTCACTGTCAACCTCCCCCCCTTTGTTTCACGCAACGGACAGGCGGAAGCGACGCAATTTCAGCAAGCAAGCCACTGAGGTCCTGAATGAATATTTCTACTCGCACCTGAGCAACCCGTATCCCAGCGAGGAGGCCAAGGAGGAGCTTGCCAAGAAATGCGGCATCACCGTCTCGCAGGTACCAGGACCTTTGCGGGGGGCAAGTCTGAAGCTGATCCGAGCAGGCTACAAGACTGTCTGCAAGAGACGGTAGGGTCACTTCGGGAAAGAAGGTCGGCCGGGGGAAAGGGTCCAGGTTTGGCTGACCTATCGATCCATAATTCCCTTCCTTCCTTACCCCTCTTTCCCCCACCCCTTGTTCCCCTCCCACTTCCTGCCCCTCCATGTTGACCTCTGCCCTCTCCCTCCCCTCCCTCCTTCCAGGTCTCAAACTGGTTCGGGAACAAGCGCATCCGTTATAAGAAGAACATCGGCAAGTTCCAAGAGGAAGCCAATATTTACGCCGTGAAAACGGCGGTCAGCGCCGCACAGAGCGGGGGCGACTCTCCCAACACCCCCTCCTCCGCGGGTAACTCCCCTCCTCCCCAAAACTCCGCTACACCCCATGTTGGTGCAGGAGTCCTTGCTGGGATTGGAGAAGCATGGAACTGCCCCCCCCCTCCAACAGACGGTGGAGCTCCTGAGGAGAATCTCCATTCCCAGCTCTTCCGTCCCCTTCCAGACAAGCGGTCATCCTTGCTGAGTGCAGATCTAGATGCTTGCTTCTTTCTTTCCTTCCTTCCTTCCTTTCTTCCTTCTCCCCTGCCCCCAGGCCAATGTAACGGTCTGCGGGAATGGCCTTGGGAGACGGGAGGAAGAGCCACAGACTAGACACCAGTCAGATAAGAGGCAGCTGAGTCCACAGCAGGAATGTGGGCATGGAAAGCATCTCAGAAGGGTCCTTTCCTGGTTTCTTGGATGGTAAAGGTGAAGGGGGAAGAGATGTACCTTTTAAACTTGCAAGATTTATTTACTTACTTACTTACTTATTTTTAAATTTTATTGGCCACCCATCTTACCACAGGGTAAGTTTGGGATTCTGTTACTATAACCTTACACAAAAGATAGAGCTAGTATTCCTGGGTGCGCTTGGGGCTCTTGGCATGCACCTCGAATTACGTAACCTCTCAGTAGCCTTAATCTTTTCTTTCCTCGAAAGAGCTGCGTTTTCCACCCGTTCACTCTGTTGCTCTTTTTTTCTCCCATCTTTCCTCCAATTTTCTCGCAGGCTCCGGGGGCTCCTTCAATCTCTCTAGTTCGGGGGATATGTTCATGGGCCTTCAAGGGCTAAATGGAGACTCCTATTCTACATCACAGGTTAGTTCCCCCACCACCACCACTTGGGACTTGCCGCATCCGCAGAGAGCATTGCCCAACCTGGCCGCTGTTGAAATGATACAAAAGTCTGTTCTCCTTACTGTTACGTTGGCACGACACCGTTTGGCCTTTTGGGAAGATTATGATCCTGATAATGATGAAGAGAAGCAACCTAGAACTAAGGAGAAATTTCCTGGCTGTTAGAACAATTAATCAGTGGAACAACTTGCCTCCAAAAGTTGTGAATGCTCCAACACCGGGAGTTTTTAAGACGATGTTGGATAACCATTTGTTGGAAATGGTAGAGAGCAGTGATGGCTAACCTTTTTGCCATCGCGTGCCAAAAGCGGTGGGAGCGTGGTGGGGGTCGTGCGTGTGCCCACACCCATAATTCAATGTGGCCTGCCCCCCCACGCATGCCCACACTCCCCTCCATGCTCCCCCCGCTTTTGGCACGCAATGGCACGGTGGGTTCGGTAGGCCCGTTTTTTGCCCTCCCCAGGTTCCAGAGGCTCTCTAGGAGCCTGGGGAGGGCGAAAACGGCTTTCCCCACCCTCACAGGCCTTCTGGAGGCCGGAAACGGCCTGTTTGCTGACTTCCAGTGGGATCGTTTCCAACCTCCGGAGGGCCTCTGGGCGCATGGGGGAGGCCGTTTTCGCCCTCTCCTAGAAAGACTCTGGAGCCTGGGGAAGGCGAAAAATGGGTCTTCCCTACCCCCCGGAGGCCCTCCGGAGGCTGGAAACTGCCTATTTCCTGATTTCCGGTGGGCCCAGAAGTCCTAAAAATCAGGTGGCCCATGCGCGCTGCAGCTGAACTAGGGCAACGCTCACATGCATATGGCTCTGTGTACCACCTGTGGCATGCGTGCCATAGGTTCGCCATCATGGGTATAGGGTTTCCTGCCTAAGCAGGGGGTTGGACTAGAAGACCTTCAAGGTCCCTTCCAACTCTGTTATTCTATTCTATTCTATTCTGTCAGGGCTTCAGGCTAGACTAAGGAAGAGGAAAAAATATCCCTGAGGAACGCAGTTGCTGATGACTTAAAAAAACTACATCCAGACATAAACGAAGTTTTGAAGAGCTTGATTTATAGTATAGGCTGTTTTATCTTTCTGGTTTTTTTAAAAAAAACTCTGGATGTGGTTGTAGAATAAGGGATGAAAAAGAAGAATAAGGGATGAAAAAGAAGATAGACTTGGCCTTTAGACCAGGCCAAGTCTAAAAATGCCACAGAATTTCTAGAAGCCTGGCACTGACAAATCAGCCATCAATAGACCCATAGACGTTAACAACATCTACAGACAATGCAAAAGAGGCAGTTAAGCAGCCCAAAAAAGAACAAAAAGACTCCAGCACCTCCACCAATAATTTGCACCCAGATCAGGATAGAATCAACTCCAATGGTTAACTTCAGACCAACAATCAAGTAAGCAATATCCCACTCAAGAAACTGCCAAAGAGCCATCAGGAAACAGCCCAACCAAAGAATCTCTTAAGATCCACCTACACAGACAGGCAAATCACCAGAATATAAACTGACAGCAAACAGCACTTCTTACTAGCACTGATGATGTTACCTAGTTAGGGTAATGAGACATTCGCAAGAAAACGAGGAAGCTCAGAGAGCACCAAGGTACCAAATGTGGCATTTTTTTTTTCCTGACAGGCAATAATAATCGCTGAGGGAGATGGGTGATTAAGAAATGTGAAAATAGAAATAAATAAAATAATAACCTTCTTTATTTATATTTGTGCTGTTCAGAAAGGTTGGACCAAAATTCTTTGGTTCCCCATTATCAGAGCAAATAGCTTCATTGATTCAGTGTAAGGGGACATTTAGTCAAACCCATCTGAGAACATAAGGCCTTTCAGATTGTTTTCTATCCTCTAGGTCAGGGGTCTCCAACCTTGGCAACTTTTAAGACTTGTGGACTTCAAATCCCAGAGTTCAAAGCTGGCTGAGGAACTCTGGAAGTTGAAGTCCACAAGTTTTAAAGTTGCCAAGGTTGGAGACCCCTCTCTAGGTTGGTGGGTTTTTTTTTTTTAATTTCAGCAACTGTAAGATGTGTGGATTTCAACTCTCAGAATCCTTACATCTTAACGTTAAGGTTGAGGAAAAAGTGCTTTAGGTGAGTGATTGCTAATGGAAATTTCACACCATGCAATGCCCTTATCCCACAGCAAACCTATGTAATTAACTGCTGTAATCTCAAAAAAATTAACTGTTTTAAAAAAAAAGCTTCTTCACAAAGAAATCCTGTTTAGTGAAAATCCTTTTTCGTGTTAATTTAACATGTTTACACGTCCTGTCTTTTTAAGTTGATTCTATTTACATGAAACAAACATAAAGACTACCCCACAGTTTGTGGGTTTTTGAGTATTTATAATACACATTTTTTTTCTGTGTTATTTTAATTGGGTTTTTTGTTTTTGTTTTTTGCTTTGTTATTGTGGTTTTTTTTATGATTGTGGCAGGATAATCATAATTATTCTGCCCATTCATAATTATCGTAATTATCCTAACTCACCCAGATTGGATCTTGCATAATCATAATAATTTATTAAACTTGTAGGCCCGTGATGGCGAACCTATGGTACGCAAAGTGGCACATGAAGCCTTGTCGGCCAGCATGCACGACCACAAATGATCAGTTGTTCTTCGTGCGCACGGCAGTGCCGAAAACTGGTGTGCACATGCACGCTGGCCAGCTGATTGTCAAGTGTGCATATGCGCCAGAATCCAGAAGTTCGGCTTTTCCGGAGCGCAATCCGTTCGCGCGGCAATGCCAAAAACCAGCTTGCGCGCCAGCCAGCTGATCGTTGGGGGGCGCATGCGTGCTAGAATCCAGAAGTTTGGCTTTTCCGGAACTTGGCCATCCGCTCGACCTTTTTTGGCACTCGGTGCAGAAAAGGGTCGCCATCACTGTTGTAGGCTGTCTGATTCCCAACCACTCTGGGTGGTTAACGATGAAACAAAAAAATTAAAATTGATAAACAGTTGGCAAACACAGCAGACTGGATGGAATGGAGCCAGGGGTCCCATTGTCCCTTGTCAAAGGACTGGTGAAATGTCAGATCTTTGCAGCATTTTTTTTAACAACAGCAGAGTCGGTGGCATCTGGATCTCGGGGGATTCGCATTCCAGAGGATATAAATTTGATAGCAAATGAATATCGTACATAAACAAATAGCAACTGAGCCAAAAGTAGCCACAATTCAAAGCCAATATAAAAATAAAACAATATAACAATGCTCATAGCCAGGACTGAGTATAAAAAGGATGTATCCTCCCAAGAGAACGAGCTCACCAAGGCATGGGAGAAAAGCCAAGTCTTTACAGCTCTGGGAAAAGATAAAAAGAGTCTAATGTTAACTTTCTTGGCTGTGGGAACTGGGGAGGAAGTTTAAATGGCTGTTTCCCTCATGTCACTTTTTTTTTTTCTTTCTGAAGTACTAGCGTTAAAGAACAGGGTAATTCTAGGGCAAAATATGTGTGGTGCCCTGAATTGATAATGGATATTTCTCAGTCTCTCTCTCTTTATCCTCCCAAGCTTGTATTCTTTCTACCTTTTGTCTGTTTTTCTTTTGCTCCTAGGTGGAGTCGATGCGTCACTCCATGGGGCCTGGTGGCTATGGGGACAGTATGGCTGCCAACCAGATGTACAGCCCACGTGAAATGAGGGTGAGTTTAGGTCAAGAGGTAGATAACTTCTGGTTTACTTTGGTCTCAGGCAGCAACATTTCAGACTAGTTGCTTGGGTGTCTTTGTGTAATACAGAGTTCCCCAACCTTTCCATGTTGGCGGCCTGGAGGGGGCAGACGAGGGAAAGAAGGGATGGTTTTGTGGGAGGGATAGGCGCGTGGGTGTGCACGAGCACCCATTATTTGCGCGAGTGGGGCTGAGACCACCCGCAATGCTTGTGTGAGGGGCCGAGAGCTGCTGCGACACTTGCGCGAGTGAGGCCCAGAGTGCTCGCGCATGCGAGTTAGGCCGCAACGCTTGCGGGGGTGGGGCCAAGAGCACCTGCGACACTTGCGCGAGTGAGGCCCAGAGTGCTCACGTGAGTAAGGCTGTGCATCTACACACAACAGCTGGCTCCTCACATGGCCCACTTGTGAATAGGCCGTAGCCCGGTAGTGGGCTGCGGCCCACAGGTTGGGGACGCTTGGTGTAATAAGATGAAAACAGAAAAAGGTCTTAGTTAAATACAGGTAGTCCTTGACTTAAAACCATTCATTTAGTGACCATTTGAGGTTATAATGGCACTGAAAAAAGTGACGTATGATCATTTTTTCACACTTATGACTGTTGCAGCAGCCTCACAATCATGCGTTTAAAATTCGGATGCTTGGCACTGATTCATATTCTATATATGACCGTTGCAGTGTCCCGGGCCATGTGATCCCCTTTTGCGACCTTCTGACAAGCAAAGTCAATGGGGGAAACTGGATTCACTTAACAACCGTGCTACCAATTTAACAACTGCAGTGATTCATTTTACAAATGTGGCAAGAAGAGTCGTAAAATGGGGCAAAACTCACTTAACAAATTTCTCACTTAACAGCCCACATTTTGTCCTCAGTGGGACAAATGGTCATAAGTCACTTTTTCAGGGCCGTTGTAACTTGGAATGGTTACTAAATGAACTGTTGTAAATTGAGAACTACCTGTACTTCAGAAAAGGAACGGATGTGTGAAATGATATTCCAGAGTTCTCAGACAGTTGCTTAAAGTACATAACAATTTGTTGCATCTGGGAAGTAGGAGTGATCGTTTTTTGTAGGAGACAAATTGGATCTGAAGTTCTTCTGAAGAACTTCAGTTCTTCCTTATTGGGAATTTTCACAGGGCAGGAACTGAAAACTGATATAGATAGTCCTCAACTTACGACCGCAACTGAGCCCCAAATTTCTGTTGCTAAGTGAGTTTTGCCCCATTTTATGACCTTTCTCGTCACAGTTGTTTAGGGAATCACTGCAGTTATTGTAACTTAGTAACATGGTTATAAAACGCATCTGTTTTCCCCATTGATTTTGCTTATCAGAAGGTCGTAAAAGGGGATCAGATAATTCTGGGCCACTGCAACAGGGGTGGGTTCTACTTACCTTTACTAACAGTTTGCAATGGGATTGCGCATGAGAGCAAAGCGAGCACACGCGCCTTGCTTCTGCGCATGCAGATCGCTTCTGATGACATCAGGGTCAGTGGGCGGAGCCTCCCGTTGGTTTTACTACCGGTTCTATAGAACCGGCCCGAACCGGGGACAACCCACCACTGCATTGCAACCATCGTAAATGTGAGCCAGTTGCCCACTGTCTCAAATTCGATCCCGTGACCGTGGGGAGGCTTCAACAGTCATAAGTGTAATAAATCATATTTATGATCATAAATAATAATAAGTCGCCTTTTTTTCAGTGCTGATGCAACCTAGGTCGCTAAACGAAAGTTGAGGACATACCTGTACACACTTTAGAGCAGGGAAATTTACCATCATGGGGGGGGGTGCACTGAGGGAACTCAACCAATCTCATTGTACATATGTTGTGTACTGACAATAAAGGTTTTGAATTTTTTGAATTTTTTTTTTTTTTACTTTCACTAGGCCAATGGGGGCTGGCAGGAAGCAGCCACTCCATCTTCTGTCACCTCCCCAACAGAAGGTCCTGGCAGCGTCCACTCTGACACCTCCAACTGATCGTGCTGTGGTGGCCGTTCCCCCCCTTTTCACGTTCGTCCTGATGCCAGGGAAGAGAAAAAATGCCAGTTGTGAATGGGCTGGGCAGAGACAGGACTCTTTTCATTGCCTTAGGGTCACCGTGCCGGGGAAGGGGGGGGAGGGGATCCGATGACCCAGTGATCCTTTGAGGCAGATCGTTTTTGAGATGCACCCATTGGATAGAAGACGGTCGTCCTTCTGTGACCCTGAGTGACATCTTTGATAACCAAGACCTGACTCTTTAAGCATCCTGGAGGGGGGCCCAGCATTATTGGGAGGTGGGTGGGAACGGGTGGGAGGTGGTGTCCCAAATGGCTTACCGAATTTGCAGGGGTCAAGGGATAAGCTACTGTGGTACCTCTGCAACCAATATCATCGTCTGATGGATCGGTTTCATAAGGTTATACCCGCCCCCCCGAAAGATCTGTGATGGCAGCGTGGACGGATCTCTTGTAAGAGAAGGAGCAAAGAAAGCTTGCCGGATGGATGGGGCTCGTCTTGGCATCTCTCCGTGATGGGATGATTCCAAAGGGATAGACTGGTGTCTTCCTGTCCAGTTTAACCAGATGAAACCGTGGGCGATTCGGATCCCGCCCTAGAGCCAAGATGGCGTTTCCTTCATATTGTTGTAATCGAGGATAGTGGCTTCTCCTGTGGGATGTTTCTGAAAACAAGACGTGCTCTTTTTCTCGCTCCTGTCCTGCAAACGGATTGTGTGAAGTCACCAGGCTACTCTTCTTGGACCGAACCACCCAACATGCCTTTCCGTATCAGTGGTTTCCCTGCGTCTGAAGACCTAAAGTTGGGAGCTCATCTGTATCGGAAAGCAAGACATTTCTCAGGCAGATCTCCTTAAAGAAAAGGTGTGGGGAGCCAAGGTGTGTAATGTTGGTAAGGAGGTTATAGACAAGACTTACCTTTATCCAAATGTAGTGGGAGAATTCCATTAGAGCAGGGGTGGGCAAATGTGGCTCTTTTACAACCTGTGGACTTCAACTCCCAGAATTCCTGAGCCAGCTTGGCTCAGGAATTCTGGGAGTTGAAGTCCACAGGTTGTAAAAGAGCCACATTTGCCCACCCCTGCATTAGAGTAGCGGTCCCCAACCTGCTCGGGGTGGGGGGGGGGCAGGGGAGAAGGGAACTGGCCCGCTGCTTGTGAAAGTCGAGCTGCACACACACACATAACACACACGCATGCTCCAGCCAGCCGCTCACATGGCCTGATTCCAAACAGGTTGTGGCCTGGTAGTAGGCCGCGACCAGCAGGTTGGGGACTTCTACATTAGAGCAGTTAAAGGCCTTTAAGGAAGGAGAACTAGTATTAAGCACATTAGGGAGGACGGGGGTTCTAGAATAGGACTTTTCAAAACTATGTTGAGTGGAACTCTAAGATGCCACGAGACTTTGATGGGGTTCCATAAACTGAAAAAAAAAAAAGAGTAATAACAGAAAAACAGAATTGGAAGGGACCTTGGAGGTCTTCTAGTCCAACCCCCTGCTCAAGCAGGAAACCCTAGACCAGAGGTCTTCAAACTCGGCAGCTTTAAGACTTGTGGATTTCAACTCCCAGAATTCTTCAGCCAGCACAGAATTCTGGGAGTTGAAGTTCACAAGTCTTAAAGTTGGCAAGTTTGAAGATCTCTGCCCTAGACCATTTCAGGCAAATGGCTGTCCAATCTCTTCTTAAAAAGTCCGGTGATGGAGCACCCAACAACTTCTGAAGGCAAACCGTTCCACTGATTAATTGTTCTGTCAGGAAATTTCTCCTTTATTTTTAGGTTGGTTCTCTCCTTGATTAATTTCCTTCTAGTGCTTCTTGTCTGGCCTTCAGGCACTTTGGAGAATAGCTTGACCCCCTCAGATATTGAAACACTGCTAATCCGTTGAATGTGACAATTTGCTGTCATTAGAGCTTTGACTCTTGATCAGGGATTCCAGGATTTTATTTTTTTTTAAACTCACCATTTTGTGGCCTGAAAGTATCTGGAAAAAGCCTGCCCTGGAATAATTAGGGGAAATCAGCTTGAAGTCTCACCTTACTATAAATGCTACACCATGCTGGTAGTGGGAATTTGAATTCCATAGAGATATACAGGACTTTGGAGTAGAAAGGTGCACCCCAATGCATACCGACACATATACGGCACCTGTTGGTACCTTCTTAAAGAAGCTGTGTCTTTTCTTTGAATCACATTAGCCCCATGCATCAGGAGAAGACGTATTTAAGTTGAGGAGACAACCACAAACCTACCCCCACATCCACTCTGAAGCACTTTGTCACACCCTGTCAGAGTAACTTTAACTCAAAGCTTGCATTTTCTTGGGATTGACTGAGTACCAAATAGCGGTCTCCAATCTTGGCAACCTTAAGACTTGTGGACTTCAACTCCCAGAATTCCTCAGCCAGCTTTGCTTTGCTGGCTGAGGAATTCTGGGAGTTGAAGTCCACAAGTCTTAAGGTTGCCAAGATTGGAGACTCCTGCCATACAATCCTATGTATTTGTAGAGATCCTCAGTCATTCAGGTCATAATTTGTCTCAATGGTGCTTTTTTTCAAAAGGCAACTGGACTGTTAAAAAACAGGAAAAAAAGCACCTTTGAGATACATCCCTATGGCAAGACGTGATTCTTTAAAAAGGAAGGCCTAATGCGCTCCTTTTTAGCATCAGATTTGATGAAGTGCTGAACTTTGTAAATCTTTTGTTTTCTGGTCTTAACAGAATAACAAGAGTTGGAAGGGACCTTGGAGGTCTTCTAGTCCAACCCCCTGCTCAGGCAGGAAATCCTACACCACTTCAGACAAATGGTTGTCCAATCTCTTCTTAAAAACCGCCAGTGTTGGAGCATTCACAACTTCTGGAGGCAAGCTGTTCCATTGCTTTGTTTTCATTGTCAGGAAATTTCTCCTTAGTTCTAGGTTGCTTCTCTCCTTGATTAGTTCCCACCCATTGCTTCTTCTCCTGCCTTAAGTGCTTTGGAGAATAGCTTGACTCCCTCTTCTTCGTGGCAGCCCCTGAGATATTGGAACACGGCTATCATGTCACCCTGATCCTCCTTTTCATTATCTTTCCTTTGCTACTTTTCTTTTTTCTTCAACAAATGTCCCATCGGTTCTTACATATCCATATTTTTTTTGCGATTTATTTTTGTTTTCCATTTTTACTATTTTCTGATGTCTGAACTTCAGTTCTGCTCCTTATCCCTGCCCATTACCAGAGTAGACTTTTTCTGCTTGACCAAACAAAACTCGATCAGCTAGATTCCTGAACTATATACATTTTCACTCGGGGGTGATTGTGCAAATCATAACTTGTGCCAGCTAGCTAGAAGGACTTCTTACGTTTCTTTTTCAAAAGGAAAGAACATGAGAACGTACAAAATGGTGCAGTCGATGATTGGGCACAGTTATGTCAATTGCAGTTTATTTGTTTAGTGTATCCTTAAGAGCCTCCGTTGATAATAGTGGATGTGCTTATTGCCAAGATTTTTTTTTTTTTTTGCAATACTGTGTTTCCCTGAAAATAAGACCCTGTCTTATATTTTTTGGAACCCTGAAATAAGCGCTTGGCCTTATTGCCATGCACTCAAAAGCCCGATTGGGTTTATTATCAGGGGATGTCTTATTTTGGAGCAAATGGAGTTCTATCGGCTACAAATTCTAATGATAAAATCACACTTTCCCCCAAAAAAATATTGAAATAAAAACAGTGGAAGGATTTCCAAGGAGGATTGTATCATGTTGGACTGATCTGATCAGGTAGCTGGATGTAACTTTTGCAGAAAATTATAATCACAAGGCAAAGTCTGTGAATTAGATGTCAGATTAATTCTAAGGATGGGCAAGAATGTAGACAGGGCAAGAAGCTTTGAGGGCTCACACCGATTCTGTTTTCCCTTGGCCTACTAAGGACATTTGGGAGGGGGGGGGAGATTTACACTTGGTCCTTGACTTACGAGCGCAGTAGAGCTCAAAATTTCCATTGCTCAGCAAGGCAGTTGCGGTGAGTTTTGCCCCCATTTTACGCTCTATTTGCCATTCGTTATGCGAATCTGCAGTCGTTAAGCAAATCTGCCTTTCCCCCATTGTCGGAAACAGACTGGGAAAGTTACAAATGATGATCATATGACCCCAGGCGAGACAATGCAACTGGCAATAAATATATGCCAGTTGCCAAACACCCAAATTTTAATCATGTGACCATGGGGATGCTGTGACAATTGTAAGGGGGTGGGGGGAAAGCCCGTAAATCACTTTTTCCAGGGCTGCTGTAACTTCAGTCACAAAATGAATGGTTGTAAGTTGAGGAGTTACAACAAAATGGTTGTAAGTCGAGGACTACTCTGTATTCCACCTTCAGACCTTTTTTATGGTCTTCCCTTTTTATGAATGTCATCACAAAGGCAGGATGTAAAATCTTCAAGAAAAATATTGGAAGTCTGCTGCTTCCCAATAGATTGGCCTACAGCTCCCATCATGCCCCACGGCTGCTTCTGACAGTATGCAATGGGAGCTGTAGTCCTTCCTATTTAAAGAACGTCAAGTTGGAAGATACTAAAATACATTTCCATCTAGGCACAGGGCTTAGTTCAGAGGGGTATTATTTTCTTTACCAGGGTTTTTTTTGGTGGGGGGAGGGAGTGTGATTGTGTAAATAGTTTGGTGTGCAAAGTGAATGATCCATGAGGCAGGAGGGAGGCGGAAAACCATGGCAACCACCATAAATTAGATCGAAACCGCGCAAGAGTAGGTGTGGAGAGGTGTAGAGTGGAAGACTTGTAGGAGACTAGATGTTAAAATAGTGGAAAAGGAAGAAAGTAGACCTTTGAAAAGAGAGGAAACTAAATAAAAACTGAGGGCAGGAAGATTCAGATTAGACAAGTAAAGCTTGACATGTTACATTGAAAAGGGAGAAAAAAGTCATCCAAATATAGTCCAAATATATTTAGAGAATGTTTTTCAACCTTAGTTCCTTGAAGAGATCACTCCCAGAATTCCCCAGGCAGCAAATGCCGGCTGGGGAATTCTGGG